GAAAAGAGAAGAGACAGAAGGAAAGAGAAGCTAGAAGTGTGAGAGAAATAAAAGCAAAGGAAAGAGAATAGAGAGAAGGAAAGAAGTGAGAGAAAGAGAGAGATAAAACAGGAAAGAGAAGCGAGAGAAGGACAGAAAAGAGACAGAAGGAAAGAGAAGCAAAACAGAATGAAAGAGGAGAGAGAGAGAGGGAGAGAGACAGAGAGAGACAGAGAGAGAGAGAGAGAGAGAGAGAGAGAGAGAGAGAGAGAGAGAGAGAGAGAGAGAGAGAGAGAGAGAGAGAGAGAGAGAGAGAGGTGGGGAGTGAGAGAGAATGAGAGAGAGATTAAAGAGAAGGAACAGCTCCAGACAGAGAGGTTCAGTAGGACACTGCGCTCTGTCAGGTGAAGTACAGAGTGAGCGTGGTGGAGGAGCTCCTCAAGAAAAGCATGAATCTTAAGTAGTCCTGAGTAGAGACAGGCTTTGTTCACGGTCCAATCGCCAGGCCCACCTCTCTCTCTCCCCCTTTGGCAGGACATTTATCATTCTTCCACACCAACAATTGCACAACAACACAGGCCAGCACGGGCAACACAATAGACGACTAAATCAGGGCCTCCGTCAGCCGCTTGCAACGGTTGCTAGGATACTTTTGATGCTTTGGAGCGGCTCGTCAAGAAGCTCATCGCTTACTTATGAGACGAGGGGTCCGGCTCAACTTCCGTCACTGATAAAACGAGGCGAGAGTTGGAATAAGTTACTGAAAAGTTATTGGAAAGTCTTGTTTTGTGGGAACTTTTTAATCGTTCATTATTTTTACCATATTTTTGATTGACTCAAACAATCAAACAAGACTTTGAAAAATTCATAAGTGCAGAATCACCACAGAATGCAAATGTAATTCATTACTACTGACGTGATCATGCGATTACATTTAAAGAGGGCACCAAAATAACAAATTACATAATAATGATAATAATAAGCACAATAACAATAAACAATAACAATATACTTCTACAGATCAAAACAGCTACTTGTAATGGTTGCTAGGATAATTCCAACACTTTGAGTAGCTCGTCAAGAATCTTATTGCTTACTTATGAGCTTTCGTGCTGATAAAACAAGTCGGGAAATGTAAAAGCAGATGTAAACCTGTCAACAGAGAACATGAATCAAACCTAAATGTTTAAGATGCACCGATACTGGAAGTGTGGACCTATATTTTTCATGTACATCTCTGCTGATGCCAATCCCAATACATAAACGTTTAAAAGTAGAAATTGTGAGCAAATCTTCCTGGATTAGCATTAAAGAGAAGTATAAAAATGATATCTGTATGGTTACAAATGCAGTTAAATGAATAAAAAGCAGACATTTTAATTACAGCAACCCAACACTGCACACAAAGAAATCTGGATAACAATAATATGGAAATTTGGAGTACAATAGAAATATCATCAAATATCTTTCATTGCAAGGCATAAGCATCATGTGTTAGGGACAGGGCTGCAACGATGACCAGTGTAGCCCTTTATACCAGCTGCCCATGCCAGCCGCAGTTATCAGTAGTACGCACAGAACATGCATTCTAAGCTTCGAGTGTATTTTTTCCGCTTGCTGCATTCGCCATGCCTTTAGAACAGTGGTTCTCAGTCGGTTCTCTTGGCCCCCCAGATGAGCTGGACTGAAGCAAAAATTTCTCATTCAAAACCAGCATGGAAAAAAACAAAAGCAGCACAGAAGCTCCCATTTTGTTGCTTTGCAGTGCAGCTTCTGCTACAAGACAAGCTTTAATTGATATTTTATATTAGCAGTAGGCGAACCACAGTTAAACTGAGTTAGTCTCATGCAGAAATACAAGCCTAATCTTTTTTATATTGAACTGAACAAACATGTAAAGGTTTGAATGCATGCTACTTTCACCACTTCTGCTGGTGGTATTGCTCATCACTGTGGTAAGAAACCCAAACGCCACAGGGTTGAAAAATTTGCCACGGCAACAGGCCTAGTAAGGGAAGGCCGATATGATATGTTATAGTTATCACGATTAATTACAGCACTGTACAGAAAACTGTGTACTTAAATTGCTGAAAATCACTCATATATCAAATGCATTTTTGCTTGAAAAAACACCAAAAAACATCAACTCTTAAGACCCGGAGACCGTAATCTTTTTGCAAAACGGTAGGTCACTTCATAACTTCATAACCATTTACGATACAAACATGATCCACATATCTGGACATTCAGCAGACCTGCCCCTAACTAGCAAGCACGACTTTGGCCTTTATATTCCAACAATGGGTTAAAACAGAAACATGATTCATACATCAGATCACTCATCAGACTCTGACCTCACCATCCACCTGTGACCATCAATCAGCCAGCAGTCCAGCTCCAAAATCACCCAAACACCCCACTCACTACTGTTATACTACATCTCTGCTTTTAGCCTTCATATTATAAACAAAGGGCTTTCAGTTTACATCGATTTTGAGTGTTAAAAATATCTGATATTGAATATTAAATAACTCAATTTGTAATTAAAAATAAAGCCTGTCTTGCTGTGTATCAGAGTTTTAGGACTCAGCCTGAATCCAAGAGGACAGAAAATCAATAAAAAACATGTCCACCTTATGCTAATTATTTATTTTTACTCATAATAACCAACAGAATGAATCACCATCAAAATGATTGCACTTTCAGCTCACAGACACTCCAAACTAACAGTTTCTGAAAAGATAACTACAACTGCACTTGTTTTCAAGATCTCTATAATAAAAAAAACAAAAAAACAACTATAAATAAATAAAATTTAATTAAATGTAGCAGGCGTTCGGTACATTTTTGATCGAATATTACCCAAATTCATAGATATCAAATTTCTGTTAGCATTTACATGTCAAACAATGGCATATCTGAGTAGCCCAGGGTCTCCTGAAAAAAACAACGTGTGTGACTGTCACATGTAAATATTTTATAATTGTAACTGACTCAAAAAAAACCCAGAAATGTTTGGTTTCTGAGGCTTAAAATAAATACAAGTAAAAAGAATTTCTTGTTTAGTTATATCTAATGAGCCAGTGAGAAGAACACAGGTTAGATTTCCATCCAAGGCCCCCAGCAATCACACTGATTTCTTAAATTCCATCGGCAGCATGTCTGATTTAATTCAAGTACTGATTAGCCAAACCAGGTGTGGGATAATAACGATAAACAACACTGGGCTGCCACGAGGAGTCGTTTGGAAATGGTTAAACTAACTCACTGACAAACATGGAATCACTACTTATTGTATTTTATTTATATTTGCTCTAATATTAGTGCTTTTCTGCCAAATAAATGTTTACAGACCAGATATATATTAAAAAAAAAAACTTTCTGAATGCATTTTAATCAGGTGCCCAAGGCCGGCTTTACACTGCATGTTGTAAGCTGCATGCAACATAATTTGTGTCTTCACAGTCACACAAAGCAATTCAAAAGGTTGCATACAACACATTCACTTACTCCACTAGTTAGCTAAATTAGCAGCTAAATTTGCACCACATCCTTCACGCTATGAAATCATCTGCTAAGTCTAGCTATGTAGACCACGATAACCGCAGGCTGAAGAAGAACGAACAGTGGAACAAGCAAATGTTTAAACAGCATCTGGTTACAGAAATGTTAGTTCTGAGAAACTGATGTTTGTGGTCAAGGCTCAGGAAACTGAGGATCTCATTTTCAACCTCCCAATAAATCCTCTATTTTATCTTCTTGTCCACTGATCTGGTTAAATCACTTGTTTGAAATGATGTCATGCAATGTGATCAAACATTACTGGCCTTCTGATTGGCTGTTTCAACATCCACAAAGTTGAGATGGGGGTAACTGTTTCAGCAGAGTTTCAAATGAGTTTCAGGCTGCTTTACAGTTGCAACCTCCCAATAAATCTTCTGTTTTATCCTCTTGTCCATTGATCTGGTTAAATCACTTCTTTGAAAGGAAGTTGTTCGACGCATGAGTGGCCTTCTGATTGGCTGTTTCAACATCCACGAAGTTGAGACAGGGGCAACTGTTGCAGCAGAGTTTCAAATGAGTTGCAGGGTGCTTTACATTATGCAATTAATTGCCATTTAGATTCATGCAAGACTTTTGCACAGTACTGTATGTTACATATACACTTTCAAAGTATATCTAAGGGTATCATCAGTACTTCTAGAACGACAAACATCTGGGTTTATAAAAAGACCAATTCAGACCAATTATAGAGAGTCTAAACTTGAGAAAACAAACATTGTGTCCACCCCAATCATCCACCCCAAAAACTGAGAGCTGCCTGTGAATTTCTATTCTATAGTAACTCCTGTTGTTTAGAACATTAGGCAACATCTAAGACTGAACATCTGCACCCTTCAGCAGCCAGCGAGTCTGTCAGTGCTTGCTCTGCCTCCCTCACTCGCTGTGGCTGCACCCTCAGCTGACGAAAAGCGATTTGCTCTCCTCCGTGTCCTACATTCCCCTCATTGTCTTTGTGAAGCGCTGCAGCTCCCAGAGTGATGGAAGGGAAGAAAAAAAAGCTTCAGCTCTCACCCAAGCAGCTCTGCCAAGCCAGAGAACAACAACAGAACAGCCAGCCAGCTTCACTGAAACGATAGTAGGGAACAAGGCCTTCTCATACTGATCTCAGACCAGTTTCGAGAGATTTTTCACTGAGGCAACTGTTCCTGGACCAGTGGTAAAAAAAAGAGAGGGGGGAAAAAGGCCAGTTTCTAACGGAGATCTGCAAACACAGCTTGTCCAGTGCAGCATGCAAATCAGGCTGCATGCAAATGCAATGCGTATCACTGGGCCCTGACAGAAGGGGCCTTTATGCGCTCAGGCTGTGGAGCACTTTCATGCAACTGTAATATCTGCCCAAATACCGGGAAGACGTAATCGCAGGCCTGCTAGCCGTGATGCCATGCACTGAGGTCATGCAGGAAAACACAGAGGAGTTTCTTCGGAAGGCAGCTGGGAGACGGCGAACAACAACTTACTTGTACGTCATGGCGTCGAGAGGCGAATATTGATTCATTAAAATAAATCCCACGGGTTCCACGTCCTAGACAGCTGAGGAGGGAGAGCAGGAAGGCTCTGAGCGATCTGTGGAGAGAAGACAGTGTTCAGAAAGGGGAACAGCACAGTGGAAAACAGCTCACACTGAAAAGAACCACACTATTTGTTCTTCTTAGTAATCCCACACATAGAGCTCCAGCACAGTAAACAGAACAGCAGATACGTTTCACTGCGTAACACACCTTTATTCTAACCAAGACATCCTTAATCTCCCATAAACAGGCTACAGAGGGTTACACTTCAGCACAAAAGACATTCTCAAGAGCAACACACGGCTAAAGACACAGCCATGCCTGACCCGCTCACTCTGCTAGCGGAGCTAGGGCGAGACGGGGAGGCGATCCGCCAGCTTGGTGGGGGATTGTGTCGCCATGGTGACCATGGAGGCGAGGAGAATAAATTGGAAGTGTTGAGGAATCCTGGCAGGATGAACTGAAGGAAGATATTAGAGCCTGTTTTGAAGAAGGTTTCATATATATATAAATAAATGTGGACAAAAAGCTTATATTCAAAACAGTAACTTTTCAGGTGAAGGCAAAAATATTCTTAAAATGATACCATAAATTACATTTTTCTTTTCAGAAAAACTAAAAGAGCAGAAAAATTAGCTTTTAAATACTTATGTTAAGGTGACTGTTATGTTTAGGTGTAGGTGTACTATTGCTTCTCCACAGTAATACAAAAATAGAAACCTATGGAAGTCCCTACAAGCATAGCAAGACAAATGTGTGTATGTGGGGCTCGCCATTTTTCTTTTTTTTTTTTTTAAATAATTTGAAAACATTAAATGTCCTTTATATTGTATTAACATTTCATGATGACTGGATCAACCAACATATCCAAAACTGCTTGGAATAAATCTCTTTACATTAACCTACATTGAAAGTTAAGAAGGTTTTTTTTCTTCCCCTGTAAAGTTAACATTTATTCCTTACTGCTTACGGCTTATTCCACCCTGAGGGTTGTTATTCAGTAAATATCCAGTAAGTCTGACCCATCCAGTGGGTTCTGGCCATTTAAGTAGTTTAAAGTTAAACCCACAAAAATAAAATAACATGAAACAGCTTTATTTCATGCACTTCTTGCAGGTTTCTTATAGCTAGAACCCACGGGTGGCCCAAACAGCACTTTACATACTTTGAATACTCAGCGTTTTCATATGTAAATATAATATTTACATTTCATAATGAACCATAAGCTTAAGAATGCTGATTTGTTCCTTTGATCAAATATTCCAGGCATTTGGGGAAGCATTTTCCGTCAGTTCAGCCATTTGACAGAATGAACAGCCAAATTCATGCTCCATTGCAACAGCAGCGTTTCAAGTTTGATTGTTGATTGTTTGATTGAGTGAAAAAACCTTGAAGGGTGAACATAAATCTCATTCAGGATGGAAGCAGAATAATTTCAATGTTGTATTAAATCACTGTAGATTTACAGCCACTCATATTTTATAATTTTAAGAATGTTGAACAAATGAACGGGTATTGGGTTATTTCTTTTTGCGTAAACTAGTTTGCCTTTTTAATATCTTTCACAAACCTATACTGTTTCATTCTTCCAAAGAAAAGGGGTGACACTGCGAAATCGCAGCTGTGCTCAGCCTTTAGCTAATGTTACCTGGAAATGACAGTTTTTTATATAGCCTAATACATATGTTGTTATTGTTAACAGCTTATTTCTCCTGGTTTTATGATACATGTTTATGTTTTTTTTTTAAGAACAGCAACAAGTAAACCTCAGAATCATTGTGCCTCACAGCATACAACACCAATACAATAAAATGTTGCCATGGTGACAGCATCAGGTGCAACAAAATGATTGTCAGATAATAGCTTATTTAAGGTGGAAAATTAAGGTTTTTTGTTTGTGTTTTTGTTGTCTAATATTGGATGAGCCTGGAGTTCCAATGAGATGTTCGGCATCCATAGCTCCCAAAAAAAGAAACGAACAGATAAGTAAAGTGAGTAAGTAAGTAAGTGAGTAAGTAAGTAAGTAAGTAAGTAAGTAAGTAAGTAAGTAAGTAAGAAAGAAGAAAGTTAAAAAGAAGTAAATAAGTAATTAAGTAAGAAATAAGTAAGTGATTAAGTAAGAAGTGAGTGAGTAAATAAGTAATTAAGCAAGTAAAAAGTAAATAAGTAAATAAGTAAGTAAGTGAGTAAGTAGTAAGTAAGTAAATAAGTAAGTAAGTAAGGAAGTGAGTAAGTAAGTAAGAAGTAAATAAGTAAGTAAGTGAGTAAGTAGTAAGTAAATAAGTAAGTAAGTAAATAAGTAAGTGAGTAAGTAGTAAGTAAGTAAATAAGTAAGTAAGTAAGTGAGTAAGTAAGTAAGAAGTAAATAAGTAAGTAAGTGAGTAAGTAGTAAGTAAATAAGTAAGTAAGTAAATAAGTAAGTGAGTAAGTAGTAAGTAAGTAAATAGGTAAGTAAGTAAGGAAGTGAGTAAGTAAGTAAGAAGTAAATAAGTAAGTAAGTGAGTAAGTAGTAAGTAAATAAGTAAGTAAATAAGTAAGTGAGTAAGTAAGTGAGTAAGTAAGTAAGAAGTAATTAAGTAAGTAAGTGAGTAAGAAGTAAGTAAATACATAAGAAGAAGAAAGTAAGTTACTAAGTAAGTAAGAAGTAAGTAAGTAAGTAGCAAGTTAGTGAATAAACAAACAAACAAACAAACAAACAAACAAACAAACAAATAGTCAACATCTGGTTTATTCCACCGCCACAGTCAATGGCAAAAGTTGGGAAAATTAACATCTTGATAGCTGGTGATGGTAAAATTAATGATGACTCCAATTAAAACAATGGAATATCCAGTCTGCCGTCAGCTGCTGGGTGCCAACAAGGAAAAACAGCTTCACTCTGAAAATCATCATGAATCCACTGGTATTCCACAACTCTGTCAGGGCCTAAATGGTTAAAGGATGATGCTTCTGTAAACTAAATAAAGAAATAAATACAAACATTAATAAATACTTGACTACTGGAATTTTGTGGGTGTTTTATGGGACCATTACTGTTGCATCTCTCCAGCCAAATGCTGTTCCACACAGCCACACTATAAAGTGGCTCTCCAGGCAGCGCTAAAAGCTCACTGGTTTATCCTGCTCATATCCTATAGCCACATGTGTCCCAGTGCATCAGCAGAGCTTGGCTTAAGCCTGCATGCTTATCTCTGCATTACAGATTAAAATAGCAACGTGTTATTAGCTTAATAGATTATACAGCATGTCAACACAGTGGGCAGTGAGTTCATATCAGAGAGACTCGGCGCACCAGGCTTGGAAGAATCAAAGGGAAACACAGAAACATAAGCCATCAATCATCCGCCTTCTTCTAATCACCACATATATCACAAGGAAAAGGGTCCCGAGGTCCAGATGAGGCCTGAGAGCTGGATATGTGGTCTTCACTCAGCATTCAGCTGCTGAGTCGTATTGGTCAGCATTGGCCTCCCAGCCTAATCCAAACAGCGCTCGCGAGCAGGCGTAACTGGATTTACGGGCTGCTGATGACATTAACCCTGTCCACAGACAAAACGCTGGACGCCTCTGGGGCTCCACACTGAACCAGCACACACCCCATTACCACTTCGGTCCACTTCCTCTGCTGCCTTTCCTCAGATACTACGAAGTCCAAGCTGGGCTGATTTGACTGTTTTGGTACGATTCAGAATTCTTTTTTCAAAATACACTCAACAGACCACAGTGACCGGAGGAACTACTAACACAAACAACGAAAACACTAAACCAGTTTGGTTTTCATTTTTTTTGCATTTTTGCATTTGAATTTAGCCCCAGAATTTTATTTGTTTTGGCTAAAAAAATGAGTGCATACCTTATTAAATATCATTATAATTGACATCAAAATAGATGCAGTTGAGTCACTAACTTCAGTAACTTCAGATCAACGCATCATGAAGCATTTTACACTTCAATTTCTACACACTTAAAAATGAGGGTTCTTTAAGGGTTCTTTAGTGAAGAAAACGCATCTATACAAAACCATGAACATTCAAAGAACCCTCTGCATGATTAAAGGGATCTTTGCGTGGTGAAATGGTTCTTCACATTGATGGTGAATGTGTTGTAGATGGTTCTATATAGCACCAGAAAGGGTTCTTCTATTGTAATAAGCCTGACATCATAATAACAGAAGAACCCTTTTCTAAAAGGTTCTATACAGAACCATCTACAGCACATTCGCCATCAATCTGAAGGACCATTTCATGACACAGAACCTTTTAATCACACAAAGGGTTCTTTAAGTGTTCATGGCTCTATATAGAACTATTTTCTTTACTGAAGAACCCCTGAAGAACAATCATTCTTAAGTGTGTATCACTCCTGCATGCAGTGAGGTCAGAAGCATCTGTCCTTACCAAAATTTTAAAATGTGGTGTAGTAGTTCTATCAGTTTGTACATCATGTACGAAACAAACCCACATCCACCCAAGCTTGTGTTAATTTTAGGTAGCAGAATTATTATTACATTATTATAATAATATACATTATAAAGACAAATGCTTATATTTTCACGTTGTAATGGTTTAGAGCGTTTCCTCGACGTGCTCGTGCCATTAAACCTACTGGTTTAGCATTTGAAAGGTCACTGTGGTGGTTTAGAAATAAAGAACTGGGCTGACAGCTATGACAAGCCACTGGGTCCTGTTCTGCTTGCTGATGTATCTGCAAGAAGGTTGTAGAGGGAGTTGTTTGGGTGCGATTGGGGACACAGCCTCGTCTACTCCAGACTGCCTTCAGGCTTTTGATTCTGAAGCAGGGACTGCGGTTCTCAGGGGAGGAACGAGGGACGGCTTCCGATCGTCTGCCGGCTGGTGTCTGACTGTAACTCATTAGAGTTTAAACAGGTCTGTTCCACCCACAGCTACTGAACACACACACATACAGGCTGCACATTATAGTGATACCACACACGGCTATGATGTATGAATGGGCCGTCTAACAAATCACTTTTTTCCTTCACTGTCCGCTGCGAAAAGGGACTTCCCAATCCAGTGTTTCGCCTCTTTGATCCGA